GAGCGGCGAGCCGCTGTGAATGCCGCCGCTGCCGCCAGGCAAGCAGGCGGAGCGCAGCGCCAGGGGAGGGGGAGCGAGCGGCGAGCCGCCGTGGCTTGCCTGCCGGCGGCGGCGGCAACAGCAGCAGCTGCTTCGAGGCGCTGACTCAAGTATAAGCCGAGGGGGGCATTTTTCAGCCCCAAAAATGGGCTGAAAAACTCGGCTTATACTCGAGTATATACAGTATATATAATTTATATACAAGAATTGTATGGAATAGGTAGTCTGTGAGGGAGAATTCTCCACTGAAACAGCTTCTCCTCAGGCTTTTTCTTCCACAGAGAGTTGCTCTTCTTTTGGAACCCCATTAGAAATAAAGCAGCTGGAAAGATGCAAGAGCAAGCAGGTATTTCATGATCAACTTTAATACACCCTCCCTGTACCATTTTAGATCATTTGTTGTTACATGTGGACAGAGATACAAAAAAAATCATGCTACAAACATCCTTTAATTATGTATATAAGAATCATACCAATTCAGTTATCTTAGCACACGTGCCATCAGCAACCTTGGTTTCTTATAGTTTGCCTGCAAAATTCCAGAAAACCACTAGAGAAATGTAAAAAGTGTTTTCTGTATAATATTTTTCCCCCCTGGCATCTAATGGTCAGCTACTACACACTACACTTGATCTTAGCAATTTGTGCAACCAAGAAATGGTAACTTGGTACATGTACTTTGCACAGAATGGTTCACCAAGCAGAATTAGGTCACTTCCAAACAAACTCAAAGTTGGTTTGAGCTAAAATTGATTTTTCTGAATTATGGATATTAACTGGATTAGGGTAATTTGGTAACAACTTAGTTCTTCCTCCCTAATCATTTAAGTATGTCATGTGAACAGGGTCAAACTGTACAAATAGTTCAATATTTTAATGAAGGTGTTCAAATCCAGATAATTCCAGGCATGAACCATAAGACTTGAGAAGTGGACTACAATACAATATTAGACCATGCTTTACTTCTAGAACTCTTAAATTCCGTCCCTGGAATCCAAAAAATTTCCCATCTGAAAAGCTGTAATATGTATGTAGATAGATGAAGTGGGCTGCAGCTATTATTCAATATAAGGTAGCTTCTTCCTTATTAAACTACATAGGATTATTAGAGTACAAAATTTAACATAGGCAAGGACAATCTAACCTATGTGACATTCTAAAAAGACCCTAGGATAAGTCAGTGCAGGGTAGTAATTAGGGCATTAGTGATCCAGAAAAGGTCCTTGGAAGATGTGGAATTTTGGACATTTATTTCTATTTAGCTGGAAGATGGAAAAACTGCTCATGTGATTATTTGCCTTTGGCTACTAAGCTAGGCCTCAAAGGTTTGTACCTACTAAGCTATTCTTTCCTAATTGTGTATCCTTTTGCTGTTGAGGATTTGTGTTCCCATTAATACAGACATTGTAGTAACAATGGAATTTGTAATTCAATATACAGTATTTGGACAGAACTAGGATGGGGAAAACTGCCAGAAATTTTAAATTCTATACAATATTAGATCAGATCTGGCCTGCAAAACTCCACATAACCACTAGATGGCAGCATGGCATTACAGTTTTTTTTAATCTCTGCTACCTTGCAGTGGTTCTCTGGATTTCTGCCAGTAGTTATATTTCCACAGAAAGATGATCTGCTTCATCACTTTAGGGGATTTCCTTTGAGCCGTCCACTTGCAAAGTTTATCTCCCTTTGTGCTGTAAAAACAGGGCTTAGAATCACTTCCACAGTTCTCTGGGAGTAACATATTCATTTGTATCAAGAAAGGAGGAAGTACATACAGTAAATATACAGTAAATCATTTTTACTGTATTATTATTAAATTGAAGAAGAATAATTAATGAGTTTGTCCAGTTCAGTTTGGTTTATGTCTAATTCTCACAGAAGCCTGTTGTCATAATTTCAGCAGTAAGAAAAGAATTGTTGCTTATTTATATATTTTGTTTAAAACATTTATGTAGCTTCTCATCTTATCCCAAACTCTGGGCAGCTTCCAATTAAAATCAAAAGGTTTTGGCCCTCTGTACACAGCGCTGGAGCCTTAGGTGAGTAGCAGATAGCCAACCACATGAGAAGCAACAAAGCATGCACATATTTCCTGCATTGTAAAGTGTTCTCCATGGTCTCCACAATACGTCACTTATTTATTTAAAATATTTTAAGGACATCTTTAAAAACAATAACCTTCTCCTGGTTGCTTACAAGAATAACATCCAATAGAGTAAACAAAATAAAATAGTATAATAATCCATAATAAAAATTTATAAACTACAGCAATTAAAACAAGTGGGTAACCAATGCTAAAATACAATAAATTGCACTTAAATCCCAGAAGAGACTAATAACACCAACTTAGAGGAAAGTTAACAAAAATGGACAAAACAGTTTTTATTATGTAAGGATTCCTCATATTATCTTGTGATTCTTAGAGTTTTGACTTTTGATGATCATTTTGATTATTAATGGAACGAAGAAAAACATAGCCTTTATTTTTGCACTAGCAAGGACAGTAGTGTGAAACATGTACTTTAAAGCCACCTTGCTTGATTATCTTTTAAAAACAGTCAGGGGTTATGTTCTTGTGGATATGTATGTCATGGTCACTGGTTGAGCTGATGCACTCTGCGATTCTGCATTTTGAATACAGTACTTTAATTGAAGCACTCTTCCAAACAATTACTTTTTTGGCCCAATTATACAGACTGGGTTAAACATCATTGCATCAATAGCTGGGAAAATGTGTTTTGTTTTCTATTAAAAGCTTTGAAAGAACTTGCAAATATTCTTCTGACTTTGAATTACTGGTCAGTTTTACCTTTGTTTACATGCTTCAGTGAAGTGAAAATGTTCAAAGATTGAAAATCAAAATATATTTCAAGATCAATTTATTTTTAACAAATTATAAATAAATATACCTACACACACACACACAGGCATACAGTATAAATCTCAAATAACGTTGCTATTTATGAACCATCTCATTAAGCAAAGAGGTTTTTTTTATTTTTTTTTACTAAAGATTGTTTTTAAGTATTATTCATGTATGGGGAAGACACAATGTCAGGTGGGATTTCATAGAAAATGCTAAGAGATTAAGTTACATAAAGCAAAAAGAAGGTGTGAAGAATACATAATCAAGGGCCTAGCAATAATAAAGCAGTTAGCAGGACAATCCTGAGGGGCAGTGAGGCTATACCAGAAAATCATTGAAGCCAAAGTCCAGGTCATGTTC